TTTGTAAGAGTGTATTTCTAGATACTCTAGTGACTTTTAATAAAATATATTAATAAAAGCTTGTATTATTAACTTTTACCTTACACTATGTAGCAATTTCTTTGCCACAAATATCATACTTTGGTCATCAGTGTAATTCTAGTGTTCTTAATAAAGAAGTATAATCAGAATCAAGTGTTTTATATTTAATATTTTAAATGTTAATATTAAAAATTTTTTAATTTAATATTTTAAATATTAATATTTTTAATATTCTATATTATTAAATTTAATATTTTAAATAATATTTTTAATATCACTGTATCAATCAAGTTTCTTAAGATAATTAACACTAGAATTATCAAAGTGGTAAAAATGACCAATTTTCTATGGAAATTTTATACATTTATAACAGCCTATTTCTAGATACTCGAATGATTTTGAATAAAATATATAAATAGAAGTTTGTATCGTAAATTTTTTTCACTTCAATTTCTTTAAAAACGATTAAGTAATTATTTATTATACGCGGGAGAGATGTCGACTTTTTATGATTAATGGTAACGATTCGGTTGTTTCGCTTGGTATCTTCGACACGTTTGTCCTCCATGGCAAATTCGATTCATCCGACACTTTTCCAATTTTCCCTCTGACGCATCAACTCGTCCCTCGCAGGGGTGGCCGGATCGGAAGTTTCACCTACGCGCGTAATCGATCACAATTCGCGGAAACGTTCGCCATGTTCTCCGACCGGCGAACCGAACCGTGAAATTGCCACGACAGTGGCGTTAACCATCGTTAAACCGATTCCATCCTAAACGCGTCACCGTGGGGACGATCTTCAACTGTCGCGCAACGCCTCGCTTTGACAAAGTTGGGAACGAATTTCCAAAATCTTTGAAATTCACTAACGCCAATCTGTAACAACGAAGATCCTAATCCTGGATTTCGGAAAATTAGACTGACCAGACTAGGGGCCATTTCTAGTCCATTAGTAACCAAAAGTGAACATTGTCAACTAAAAAATTTCGAATTGGACAATATTGATATAAATAAAAAAATGCTCAGTTGAATGGTTAAAGATTTCAATTGAAACACTGTGTGAGCCTTTTTTTTTGAAAGTGGTGCAAGTCCAATTTTGAAAGAAATGAGTCGATTTTAGCTAGACGTCTTCGTTTTTTTATTTATAATATCACAGCGAATGGTGTTATACGATATCCTCACAAATTAAGTCGAACGAAGTGTGACTGTAAAATATTATTGCAAGAATGTTTTTTCTCGAAAGTGTTAATATGTAGGTTTGCGATACCTAACAGATCTAGATGCGTCATTTTCGCAATAAAGATTGCAGATCTTGTCGCAACCGAGCTTTCGACTCAACCCAAATTTCCTCTCTGCCCAACGTGCGTGATACACGACTGCATAATTTGAGAAATTTCGAGAATAACCGGAGAAAGGGATGTGAAAGAGTCACGGAAGAACGAAACCGCAGGAAGAATCTCCCCGATGACGATGCCTGGTCGTTGACGGCGGATAATTCGATCGGACGGATCGGGACGTTGGTCTCTGATTAACATGCTCGAGCCGATCGATCGCGGTGGATTCATCGGAGCAAGTGAAACCACTCAGGACCGCGATGTCGATATTCCGCGGCCGAGAATTCGCCTCACGGCTCACGGTGTCCCTTGGAATGTGTTTAATTGAAATTACGGCCGGTGCGTCTTGTCGCATTGCTGATATGCGCCTCGCCAGGAGTGTTTCTCCTAATGTCTTTCGATGCTGATGCGTCTCGGCGGATTTGTCCGAGATAATTCGATCGAAACGGAACAATTACGCCAAATGACTTTCGAAACTGCAGTCTCATCCGGTTATATCGTCCTACTTTTGGGCATAATTCGACTACAATCCAACGTTTCTTTTGACTATTTCTCTCTATGTGTAGCTTTCACGTGTATTGAAAGGGTCATTTGCACAGAATCACGTTTGGATTGACGTTACTTTTTTTTTTTGAGAGAAGAAATCTCAAAATACAGTGACTCGCATCAAATATTCGGATATATGGGGATATTTTGTAATTTTGTAAAAATGGTACAACAGTAAACTCGAAGCTTTTTAATTTTAACATTAACTGTAAGATATTTTTGTATCTATTCTGTATCAATTGTAAGAAGATGACAGAGTGAAGGCACTTTTCTTCTCGAAAATGCTATAAATTGTCACAGTATGCGAGAATATTTCCACGTGATCTACAACGGATTTGAAGATTGCAATCTCTCCTTTGTAACAAACTTACTGTAATAAATTGTTTCCTCGAACAATTTAGCAAACTTAAGTTTGAATATTCCGCGAAACCGAATATTAACGACGATTTTAGAATTTTCTAAGCTCAATATTCAAAGTTCAATAAAATAACGAGAAAAAAATCATGCATCAAATTTTCTGAGACCGTTATAAAGGGGAAGCTTCAATCGTAGATTCAGTCACGAGAAAAATTTTTCACTGTGCTTACACACTATGGCAATTTATAGCATTTTCAAAACCTGTGGTTTCTTCGTGATGAGTAGAATACAAGAAAAGAAAAAAATTTTTTTTTGACATTGAAATTTGAAAGTCAAAGTCAATTTTACAGCAGTTGTTCTTCACGTGTATTTCCATGGAATCGAAATTGTAAAATTCATTTATGATTCAAAGTATATCTCAAATATATTATCTCTTCCCACCTTTGAAATAAATATAGTACTTATCCCAAAACTTTTGACCACGAGCGTATGTTTGCTTGTCAATTCACTTGGAATCAATCGAGCGATACAGTTTAAAAATAGACACTTTTATCACTAAACCTACCACGACGGGTCAAATGACCCTTTTTCTGGCAGAATTTCTTACATACAACGTTATCACATCGTCATTTGACTTTACGACTTTTATTATAACTTACATCCAATGTATTTCCCAATAACTTGCAAAAAACGCGCTGAAGTTGAATAAAGTTTGCATATTGTTGACTTCTAAATTCAGAAATAAATGGAAATTTTCTGCATTTTTTTAATTGAACAGATAAACAATTAACAGTCGTTATTTGGACGAAATTGTTTCATTCACAAATCGTATACTAAATGGTATATTCTTTGCTATACATATATCGTAAACTATATTACCGCTGCAGTAGAAATAGGTATATATACATGAAGCATCGGTTTCAAATCAGCCCCAGACTACTTCTTCGTTAAAAAATCACAAAAGTTTCGATATTCAGATATTAATGAGACTGGCGTAAATGACCAATGAACCAACCTTCTCGTCCAAGCTCGTGCCTCGAGGCTCGATATAAAACGCGTTTGAATTTCGAAACTCGTGGTGAGTCGTGGAAAGTCGAAAGGTTCTGGCCGTGGAAAACTTGACGAGTGGGGGGGAGTATATCGACGATATTCAAAGTGGTGCACGCGGGTATCGATCGGGCAACGTCGGTTCAATTACAGATATACGTTTACGGGGAAAGGAAATTCAGCGGCAGGTTTCACAAGGTAACGGGGGGACCAGGGTAAATATCGATGTGCCGATGTAAATATGTTTGCCGTAACATTCTGTCGCGATCCATCACGAATCAATGCGGCCCCGCTAATTAATCAAAGCAATATCACTGGCAATAATCAGGCGATGTAATTGCAGCCATGATTAACGCAAAACGGCGCCGATTAACGATCACAAACACGGTTCATGCAGTCCGGGATGAAAAGCAAACTGGCGCTTTGATTTCGCTTGTGCTCCGGCGACTAGAAATGCTAAATACATCGAACACCGTGCAGAGAGACAGAGAGAGAGAGAGAGAGAGAGAGAGAGAATTCCACTTGTCGAGTGTATGGAATTAATTTTTAACCGGATAACTCTTCCATATCCTCCGTGGAAATGTTGAACGTTTCTGTCTGTTCCGCGCGGATTGATTAATTGATGCTTTCGAATCCGATTCCGTAATGTGTGACATTCGAATCTTCCATTTTTTATCACTTTTCAATTTTCCTTTTTTTTCCTTTTCCTTTTTTTTTTTTTTTTTTTTTTTTTTTTTCAGGTTTTCTGGCTCACGTTTGGCGAATTTGCTGTTCTCGCTGTTGCACCATGTTCGCCAAGAATGAAGAGGTCGACCATTTACGAACATTTACGTAAAATTTTATATTTTTTTTTTCTTTTTTTTGACGATCATACATTGTCTCTTCACTTCTGTCATCAACTTCCATCTTTTCTTCAACTGATATTAATTTTTTCATTAACTTCGAGGCAATATTTATTTTTGATAACTCGCTTATAACGAATTGTGGGCAGTTTTTAAATGTTATCATTTTTTTTTTCTTTTTTTTGAGAAAGAAGTAGAAAGAAACATTGAAAGTATCGTAAGTTGAATTGACGTTGCATAAGTTAGTAAAACGGTGCAAGGGTTAGACGATTCATCGATTGCTTGCTGTAACTCTGCGGACGATTGTACGCTTATGTAAAATACACGATATACGATATATTCTTATCGAAATGAAATTTATTTGATTAAAAATTAAAATACATTCTTTCATGAGTTCTTTTTTTCTCTTTTTTTTTTTTTTTGGTATATCATCACAATAGTTTGTATAAAAAATGCTTAGGACTATGATTTTCAGAATATATATCATCTGGGTGGAATCGTTTATTTCGTTGAGAAAAAAAAAAAAGGAAACGGCAGATAGGGAAGAGATTAAGAAAAAAAAAAAGAATCGTTTTCACACGAATTTTAAACTACCGTTAAAAGAAAAGAACGAAGGAGGAAACCTATAATTGTAGAAAAATGGTCGGTCGTTTGAAACGCAATTAGAATAAAGCCGTAAGTTACACGAAGTGTGTTCACTTACATATACATATATATATATATGTATATATATATGTATATATATATATATATATGTACACAATGAATTCGAAACTTACACGACGAATAATAATTGTGACTTACGGAAGCGTGTACAAGAATATCTGTTTTTTTTTTCTTTTTTTCTTTTTTCAAATATATCTCACCATTAAAATAGAAAGCAGCTCTGTTATGTAACGTGTGTGTTTCTCTCTGTTTTTTTGTTCTTCATTTTCTTCGAATATTCACTCGGGAATAATTTGCAATAATTATTCCCGAGTGAATAATTCACTCAGGTATAATTTGCAATAATTATTCGCATATATCTCTCTTTTCTTCTTTTCTATTTTCCCTATTTTAAGAACGTTACAACGAAAGATTATTCCCGGTTACATTTTCCAATCGTGCTGAAGCAGCAACGACGAGTTGAATAACATTACGTTTTTTCGTTTATTCGAATGACTCGTACTGGCCGATATATTAATTACGCCAATCCACCACTATGTAAGTAACGTATCGTAAAACTAATGTACCCTGTTGTCGTTAATACACGTTCTTTGCTTTTATTATGTTTGAGAGTAAACTTGGATCGATGGATTTCTTTATTATTAAGGTACATTACAACCTATTTCTTCACTCTCTAAGTGTACAGGAGTTAATACTCTTGAGAAAATGGCTCGTTATTAACATTAGTTAACGCGACGAAAATGCGATTCGGTGGGCACGAGAAGGGGATTCGTCATTTTTGTTGACGCAATTGAGTATCCATCGCGAATTTTGTCTATGCTTTTACATGCTTCTTTTTTTTTTCCTTTTTGTTCTTTCCTTTCGATTAAATTACGCTAGATTCACAACTATTGATTGAATTGTACGACAGATATACGAAGAAACGACGATAAATTTAATTTAAAAAGATACGTTCAAAAATCATTTTACGATCACTGAGACTGAAAGAAAGCTTCGAGTTATATCTAGATACAATTACGATTATTGACTATATATAATTCAATTTTGAAGTAACAGTTTCTCTGTTATTATGTACACGAATTACACGCGCCTCTGGACGAATATAAAATATACTGAAGTACCTTCCGCAACGCGACAGTACGGAGAGAGCTGTACATGACCTCAACACACGCAAAACAGTTTGTGAACTATTCAGTCACTTTGAGACTGAGTCACCGAAGGAACAGTGTTGCATGTTTACACATGTCGAGTGTCAGGTTCAGCAACTCTGAAAAATGATACACAACACAGAAGATAACTTTTAACGCAGCTCTCGTTTCCGTATCAACGACAAACGGTCGTGCATAGCTGTCAGCAGGTTTGCACCGGTCGAAAAAATAAAGAATAAATTCACAACAACAACAACAACAACAAAGAAGAAGAAGAAAAAAGAAAAAAAGAAAGCGAAAAGAAGACAGAGTTTTTTCGTGTGTTGGGAACGTGTTTTAGGAAGAAGATTGAGCCGCTGCGTTCGCGTTGAGATCTTCGCAGTTCGTAGCTGCTCCAGGGCCGCTATTATTAGCCACTGCGGGCTCGTCAAATTTTAATTCCTCCTTAACCGCCTACAGAGGAATCATTCCATTTGACATCTTTTTCAAAAAGTCAATCGCTTGGTTAAAAAAATCTCTCTTTGGGAAACGGCGTTAGAAACATTTTACAGATATGTATCGGTAACGTCACCGGCCATTACCTCTTTGATCAGCAGCCGGCAGTTCTCCATCACGCTGCGCCTCCTGTCCGAGCTGTTGCTCAGAATTTCGTCCGACTGGTGCAGGCTGTCCACGATTTTACGCAGTTCCTCCAACTCTGTCACGGTCACCTCCAATTTCGTTTCCAACTCGGACCTGCAAATCAGTACATACGCTTAAACAATGCTTCCCCGTTACGCGCGATTATACAGCAAGGGGAACAGAGAGGAAATTACTTCTCCTCTTTCAGCTCTTGTATACACGTGTCGTTGTCGAGTTGTATTATCCGCAGCACTTTCAGCAGTTTCGTGACGAGATTATCCACGTCGATCACTTGGTCGACGAGACCGACAGCTGGGCAATAATCGGAAGCCAATGGGCCGTCGTTGGTACCAGTGTCCGACTCGCTGATGGAGTCACAGTCGTCGTCCTCTTCGTTTTCAACCTTGCGTAAAAAAATTACACGAATTGCGATCAACCATCTCCGATCACTTCTCCCACCGTCTTTCGCCACCGATACTTTTCTACTTATACCTTACGCCGGTGTAAAATAGCTTGCGTGAGGTTCGTGAGGCTCGAGCACTCCTCGTTGGTTCGCGTTTTCTTCAAGTTGCCCTCGTCCACCGTCTCCGGGAAGCTGAGAGCTCTGCGAAGCGAGTCGCTGCTCGACACCATGTTGTGCGAGTACGTGTCCGGCAGAGGGACGTCCTCCAACACGCTCTCCATCATCAGGCACGGCTCGGTTTCAAAGTCGAGCAAGTCGGACGACGATTCCATGCTCAATTCTAAATATTCAATTGCGTACGATTAGTTTGACTGGTCGGTTGTCGAGTGATCGGTGATCACCTCTTAAATACGACATCGGATATACATCGTATATACACCTTTGTACATCTGTTTGGCCGACTCCAACGTAGACTTTTTGTCTGTAGTGTTTTTCGTTGCGAAAGGATGCGTAGCCGCGTTCCGGATTGCCCCAATCACCGCGGAAACGAAGGAACCGCTCTTCGGACTAGGTGTGCACTCTTTCAGGCTGTGCTTCGAACTGACCGGACTCGATTCGATGCTGCTGTTACTCCGGCTGTACGCTTCGTTGTGATATATCACATCCTACGAGCAAAACGACCGAGTATCATTAGATACGGTGAATCGAAGGAAACAAAGATGATAAGAGAAAGAAGAAAGAATCATGGTGACGTTACTTCGAGGTCCTTCACCGAGATACTGTAAGACGTTATCAGCTGATCTACCAGTCCCTCTAGCCTGGTGCCAAGACCGGAAAGCGCAACCGCAGCCCCGGAAACGGCGGCCCCCTGCGTAAGCAACAGCTCCCTGCTTCGTCGTTCGACCGCGTTCAATTTCATGCTCATGGATAAATTTTCTTGCCTGGAAAGAAAGAAGACGCGCGTCAGTAATTGAGATTCGCGTTTAACGAAGCTTTTCCAACGTACAAAAAATGTTTACCTTCGTTGCTCGCTGATGCGCACCAAGTGTTTGCACTCCTCGGTTTGCCTCTCCAATTCCAGCTCGCGTTTCGTTAATAATTCCTCCTTCGTCACTAGCTAGAAGCGCGGAATTAGAAAGAAGAATTTTAGCAACGCAATTTTTCTATCGATTTTGTATTTATTTTTGTCAAAGATATACACCTCTGTTTCGGCCTCTTTCAAAGCGTCCACCAAGGTAGCTTTCTCTTCTTGAAGGAAGTCTTGCATCTCTGCCGACTCAGCCTCCAGCTCCTGTTGCTGTTGCAACAACGCCTTCTGGGCAGCCAAGCTTTTCTCCAAATCCTTCGTAAAAACGAATCAAACGCACAAATTAATTAGATACAAATACACGGTACGAGTGTAAACTAACGTAGCTTACCCTGCTCAGCATGCGGCACAGAGACTGCAAGTCTGCTATCTCCAACTGTTGGTTGGCGACTACCTGTCCAGAAGATTGCAAATGGCACTCCAGCTCTAGGAAGCTGTCACTGCCTTCTAAAACCAAAAAAAAAAAAAAACCCTGTTAAAATACAAGCGAAAGGAAGATACAAGATTCAAGAAGTGTCTTTAACAAGCCCCCACACCTGCGTGCTCCGACTGTGGCGTGCCGAGCATCGCCAGTACTCGTTGTGCGTTTCTGTCCAATTCTTGCCGGGCGAACGCGTGGTCCGCCTTCTCCTCCTCGAGGAGACGCTTCGCCTCGACGATCTCAGTCTTCAGCTTCTCGTTCTCCTCTCTCTGCCGCGACGTCTCCTCGTTCAACCTCCTCAGGTCCGTCTGCATCGCGTGCATGTCCTGCCACGTGCCCTCCGTCTGGCAGCCCTCGTGCAGTCTCTCGACCACATCCGGCCCGGCGACGGCACTCGGCACACCGGACAAAGCGTTCTCGATGTCGCGACCGGTCAGACCAGTTTGCACGCTGGTCTCGTGATAAATCCGCGTCCTCTCCACGGTCTTGTGCCTAGGGTACGGCGGCAGGCTCTTGTGCACCGTGTGATCCCTCTTCTTCTCCATCTGTTGCCTGCTCAGACTCGCGTCCCTGCTGCCGGACCTGCTCCTCGTCGCCTTCTCCGTCTTTTCATTCGCCGTCTTGGCAACGATGCTCATCTTGGCCCTGTTCCTGCGTGGCAGCGTCGCGTACGCGTCCAGCGCCTTGCTGTCCGCGCTGGCGGTCATCTTGTCCGGTCTGGAGGATCTCGCCGCCTCGACGCGACCGGTGTAAGGCACCCGAGGGGTGGACAGAGGCTTCCGGACTTCCTCGGACGGCGTTGAACTCGGCGTGCGGGCGCCACGCGTGCTCGACCCGCCTCTGGACCTGCAGCTGCCACCACCACTCTGCCCGCCACGGCCACGCTGCTGCGCCAGGTCCTTGTTGATCTCTGTGGTGAGCACGGACGGCAGTGAGTCGGGGATCGGTCTCGTTCTCGTTCGCGGCGGCATCGGATTCGCTCCCGAGCGGAACGTCATCGACAGTCGACCGACTGCCCCGTTGTTGTTGTCGTTGTTGTTGTTATTGTTGTTGTTGTTGTTGTTATTGTTGCTGCTGTTCTCCCTGACCGTGGATTTCTCTCTGGACCGGGCTCTGTCCCTCGTCGCTGGCTGAGCCTTGTTCAGGATGCTTCTCGGGGTCGCGGTTCGCGGCTTGGAACGCGCCGGAGTAGCCGTGTACGCGGCGTTCAACGGCGTCGGCTTCGCCCTGCCGCTCTTCTGCGCCTCCTGCCCAGTCGCCTTCTGCTTCTTGCTGGCGCTCGAGGCAGCTATCGTCCTCTTCACGTTGGCTCGGTTCGCGCGGGCGGAAACGCTGCCCGCTATGGACGAACTCTCGCTGCCACCCTCGCTGGTGCCCTCCCCGCCGGTCGTCAACCTCACGTCGTCCGGCAAGGTCGCGCACGGGTCCTCGTAGACGGAGCAACAACTGACTAGACTGGAATCGCAGGACGCCTCGTCCAGGCCGCCGCAGCTGCTCGCGTAGTCTATGCTGTTCCGACTTCGCGCCTGGAAAAAATCGTGAAAAAAAGTCGTGAAAAAGAGATTTGTGGACTCGTCATCGATGAGGATTGCTTTCAATAATATCTTTGTTTAATTGTGTCAACAAGTGTGACGTCACTTGCTTAGACGAAAGAAATTCTCCACCTTATGATCACCTTGAATACCTCCATTCGATAGTAAGACTTTGATTCGATTCAATTAATTTTGTTGACAAAAATTTGGTACCAGGAGAGAGCCGTAGTGTTACAATAACATTCTTTAATCGATGCAATTTCTTTTATCCTTTGTAATAGCCTTTTTGATTTATTTAAAAAAAAAATAAAAATATTCAAAGTCGAAATATTTTAACTTCAATTTTTTTTTGTCCCTCCGTCTTTCGTACGATGGATAAAAATATTTCCTAAACTAGTAACTTTTCGATACACGTTTGTTAGTATTATTTTTCTCCCCTCTTACAGAAAAAAATGTCGAAGATCAATCGCGAGAAATATATTATTCCGTTGGCAAAAGTAAAGATGACCTTCAAATGACCTTCGAACCCTTTCACCCACGAAAACGGCTATTATCTGCAACTAAACAAAATTTGCTTCCACATCTTTCCAAAAGACAACATGTAAAATCGATCGAGCTATTTTCTTGCGAAAGAAATTTGTCAGAATCACTGTGACTAAAAGATCGAGGCTTGGTTTGAAGAAGAATTTCGTGTGCTTGAAGTGAGCCTTCTTCTTCTGTGAAATACCAATGACACACGCGGACGGGGGCTGCTTCGAGCTATTCACGCTATTTTCCCAGGCAAATCTATTTACAGACCAGAAATGGGTCACCCTGTACAATCCCGAAAGCTCTCTTATACCAACACCGTCAATCAGTTAGCAGCACGCGAATTTTTCGGCCTTGAGCAGTTTCCGCAGAGGATTTTGCGCGGCCTTGCTTGAATAGATCTCTGTGGAATAATTCAAAATGACCTCCGAGCATCCTTCGTGTTGCTCCAGCACGAGTTATTATTAACTCATTTTCGTCTCTTCTTGGAAAGAATTATAAATCATCCCTGTTCCTTTGTGAGTGTTTCAGTCTTCTCTCAAGAACTCTGAACGTTGCTCAGAAAGATTTCACTTTGAGAGAATTCCAACGAAACGATGATAAAAAAAGGATTATCAAAATTTGTCAGTGACTGGGTGCCAACCTCCAAGAAAAAAATTCATATTACGTACATTTTCTACCTTCTGAGAGATTTTTTTCTCTAATTATGGAATTGTAATTATTGGATTTAATCAGCGATTAAAAAAAGTTTTTTTACGTTTCTACACATGTTTGAATTTCTACAAATTTCCCATCCGCTGTACGATATAAAATCATCTCCAAAAAGGAAAAGAAAAAGAAAAAGAGAGAAAAAAACGAACTCACGACTGTGAATGTAGAGGCTTCGAGCTTTAAAATAAGACTCTCTTAGCATTGGATATCCTATTATATTAACTGACTGCGGACCATAACGAATGACCGAACCGTACACGACAATTCGTCGCTTTCTTTTCCTTTTACACCTCGTCAGTATAACATCTACTGGATAGAAATTATTGAAAAGTAGTAAATTTATTATTTGTTTTGCCTGGGTTATACTTAAATATTCTTAAATATACTAAAACTGAGAAAATATTACAATTTTGAGGTTAAATTTGCGAATAAAATTTTTACAATTAAATGTCGATAATCGTCAAAACATAAAGTAATATGGCGGCCTTTTAATCTTCTTAGAGAAATTTACCGAGATACACTTAAATTATATTCATGTATTGTTATTAACATTTATAAATGAGAATTAAATGTAGATAAAAATTTTCATAAAATAATGTTTCAAGTATATTTAAGAATAAATGAATTATTCTTAACCATCCCTAACAACTCGCTCTTAATTATCCTAGCATAGTTCACATCAGTTTAAATTATTATTCACAATTTTTCATTGAGACATTTTCGCCCATATGCAATCAAACAATTTGGGATCCACATTTTTTAGGAGTGTGAAACAGATCGATCCTCACCCTCGGGACCTCCGCGGCGCAGCCCTCCACTCCGCTGTCGCTTCCGTCCTTGCTGTCCTTCCCCTCGCCGCTATAATCCTTCCTGTCGTTGTTCAGAGTGGTATCTGTCTTCGCTGGCTCTGTAGATCCGGTCACGTGGATCACGGTGATGTTCATCGTCGCGTCCGGATCCGTCTCGTTCAGGGACTTGTCGACGTCGACCAACGGCGAGGCGAGATCCTCCGGGACCCCCGAGTCCTGTCTCGCCACGTTCTGCATTGGCGAGACTTTCAGGCTGTTGTCCTCCTCGAGAGGAGCCCTCTCCATCTCGTGGCTCGGCTCTACGATGCTCGGTGACACGCTCATTTCGCGGTTACCATTCTGCAATTCAAGACAGTTAAATGACAGACTATTTTGTATACGAGGTACATGCTGATTACTGTACGTAAACGTAATGGATATCTTTCACGAACGGGGGACTGAAAGAAAATCTAAACCCTAAATAGAGGTTCGCCTCGTAATTCGGTCGAATTTCGCATCATGCGAGAACGTAATACTTGACATTAATGACTGGAACACTACCAATGTAGAAATCACCAATTTACAATTTTTCCGAGTAATTTTACAACGTTGTATTTTTCAGAGATGACTTCTGACGAGATATACGAATAAAAGTATATTTCTTTGCATTCTAATTTCCTTGCGACTCAATTTTTATACTTCAGTTTTTCTCGGTGGTTCTGGCGTTCAACTGTATTTTCTTTTTTCTCTCTTTCAAAAGTAACGATCTACTTTATCGACAATGGGCAAAACCATTAATCTTACTAATGGTTGATAATTACGATTAACGTGGAATTGGGATATTAATCGTGATTACTGATTATGTGACAATCAATGAAGAAAAGTAATGATTTCAAATAATTATGATTATTAATTTATTAATAAGGAGACTAATGAAAATTATTGTAATTATAGGTTATGATTTTAAATAATTATGATTATTAATTTAATAATAAGGAGAGTAATGAAAATTATTGTAATTATAGGCTATGATTTTAAATAATTATGATTATTAATTTAATAATAAGGAGAGCAATGAAAATCATTGTAGTTATAGGTTATGATTTTAAATAATTATAATTATTAATTTATTAATAAGGAAAATAAAGAAAATTGTAGTTGTAGGTTATAATTTTATTGTAGTTGCAGGTTATAATTTCATCATATGATTTCATTATGATTATTAATTTAATAAACGTAAAAAGTTTTTAATAAACGCGATTTAATATATAAAATTTAATATATGTATGTAAGTTTTATTATACGTATTCTCATAGCTGTGAGTATTCTCGAACACCGGGAAAATGGCCAAAAGGGACCGTTTCCGCTCGAACAAAGCAATGTTCAGCAGAGATTGGACAGACGTGCCCCCCCTGATCGATAAAGCAATTAAAATCCGGATCTTGACCGTGTACAGGCAATCGGCGTGATATTCGATTATCTGGAGTCATATCCGGGGATACTTCCAGAATTCGCGAAAATGAAACACACGTGGGAAGGAGAGCCGACAAATGAAAATTTAATCTGGCGTCCAATCGTCTGAAGGAAATTCGATATGATCGATCCGATTATACCAGAACGGGGCTAAGCGAATTTAAACGTGAAATCAACAGGATGGTTGATTCTGCTCATTTTTTCACAAACTCCTTTTGGCAGTATTTTATTTATTTTTTTCAATTTTTTATTTGACTTGTCCTTCTATCGTTGCCATCCTCGAGCCAAACGACAGAATTTTACTTACTAATGGAAATGAAAATGTCTTTTAACAAGAGTCGTAAAACGAAATCCTCCTGGTAATTCATCCATTTGCAAGTGCAAACATAGAGGCAAAATATCTCGCCGAATACTGGCAAAAAACAGCGAATAAGATTGTGTAATAATCGTGCTGATAATTTATCATTCGTTGTTAATCGCGGAGATTTGCGAGACGTTATTACTAAATTATGTTCACGTGCTAAATTACGTTTCTTAAGAAAAATGGATGGTTCAAGAAGCAAGTTTTTGTATCGATCTTAATTCTCAAACAGGTTATACACACTAGTAGGTATGTGTAACTTTTTTGCGACCTCTAAAGAAACGAAGCATAAATTCAAAATGAATGAATAGTGAGTCGAAAACAAAGTTCACGAAGAAAAAGGAAAACAAAGAAAGGAAAAGAAAAAGAAAAAAAAAAACATTAACCACTCGCGCTGGCAACAGATTGCGGACCATAACGAGTGACCAAATTGTATACAGTAATTCGTCGCTTTCTTTTTCTTTTGATCTCGTCGGTATGATATCACTGGATAGAAATTATTGAGAAGTAATAAATTTATTATTTGTTTTGCCTGGGTTATACTTAAATATATTTAAAACTGAGGAAATATTGCAATTTTGGGACAAAAAGTTCTCGACGTGCGTGGCACGTCATTCCAGCGCAAGAGGTTAACTCGACGAGAAAATAATAATCATAACTACAAAAATATCAGCACACACTGGCCACCACTTCCGTCACTCTAATCTCTTGTGGAATATTTTCCTCTCTCTCTGTCGCTCTTTTCTCTTTCTCTCTCTCTCTGTAGTCTCTACGTATTACTTCCATCTCTGTCGCTCTTCCACGCGATTACGTACTCTATTGTCGTATTACAGCTAATCAACGAGGAAGATCGCGTCACCACGCGGTGTTCCCCCTTTCGAGCACGTTTTGATTCGCGAAAAAGATATATATTAAATCCGCTGCTCCACACACGTTGTCACTGAATACTCTCCTCCTCCATCTTTTACACTTCACGCTTTACGCGATTCGTGTCTGACGAAAAATACTGGCTTTGTCACATCACAGATACGTCGATGCGTCAATTTCAATCTTCGAGTTGAATCATTTTGACTAGTTCACGAAACTAATTGGCGAAATATTAATTTGGCAACTGGTATTAATTACTCGGGGAAATTCTGACTTTACTAAAACGATAATTTTCTTCGCATGTTATTTAAAATAATCCATTGGCAATTTATTTTCGAATGCACGTCGAATATCAAGGAGAAAGAAACTTTAATCGAGTTGAAAAGTAATTGAATATCGCGACGTGGACGACTAATTGTAAGAAAGTGAAAATTGCGGGGAATTCCTTTAGATCCGTGGTTTTCAACGTGGGGCCCCAATTTGACTTTTCAGGGACGCAAACTCGAGAATGAGTTGTAACTTTCTAATTTTTTTTTCTTTCTATATGGACGTCATGTTCTTTGGAAGCTTGTTTAGACCTTGAAGTTAATGGCCTTTCAGGCTTCCTCCACGTCGAAAAATTCGCCTTTTGAATAATAAGAGAATTATGTGTACACAGCAGTGGGGATATGTTCATCAAAATTTTAGAGATTATGGCGAAAAAAAAATTGGGAACCACTGTTTTAATTGAAAGTTAGTCGTAGGAACTCGAATTAATTAGAATATTTAAATCCAAATACATAACTTGTTTGAAAATTTACATGTTTCAATAATTCACACACGTGTTCGCATCTGAATATTAACATTCGATTTATGCAATATTGAAACACGTTTTATTGTTATTATTTACTCTGAAGCGCAGTTTGTCACTTCGCGCAAAATTAGATTAATTTAAATTGAAGAAAGAATTCCAAATAGCGCGGAAATTTAATTTGGAAATTCGTATAATTTATTAATTCACGCGCGTGTGCACAGCTGAACATATGTTGACATATGTACATACTAACTATTCGAACGAAAATGAATCAGTAATTCAAGCAATGTCGAACCAATTGAAAAATATTAGAATTACAAATCCCAATACATACATAACCTAGCTTTTAATCTCAACATATATACATACACTCTTATTTCAAACGCAACGAAACGCGAGAAAGTCTGACGACGATCTTCGAACGAGAAGTTGGTCGTATTTTGAAACATGTGTCGATATTGCTGGTGATAGGTGATAGAGGAGGTTACGATGGTTAGAAGGTCTCGGTGAAGTCCCGAAAGCGACGAAGCTGATTGGTCGGCGAGGAACCCTGGCTCGTGCCGTGCCAACCACGCTTATTACCAGCGCAGCCACGCTGTGTTATTCTCACTCGACCACTCGATAACCTAACAGCCACTTGGCCCCACGTTCCATCAACGGTACACCACGCTCCTTTTATCGATCAACTGTGTCCTTTATTTATCAATCCTTACTATCCTGCAGTCGACCTGTCGTTGATTGTCGTTAGTTCGTTGGTTCGAATTTCTCAAGTTGACAAAATTGACGAGTGACGATACGTTTGTACATTGATCTCTTTTCGAGTGAAAGTTGAAACTGGTTAATTAACAAATAGTCGAACGTGTCGATAGAGAAGAAGGTCAACGAAAGAAGAAAAAGAAGACAAGTTTACCGACTGGTTTTTTGACCACTTGCGCTGGCAACTGATTGCGGACCATAACGAGTGACCAAACCGTATACGATAATTCGTCGCTTTCTTTATGAACTCGTCGATATATCACTGGATAGATATCATTGAGAAGTAATAAATTTATTATTTGTTTTGCGTGTGGTTGTACTTAAATATATTTGAAACTGAGGAAATATTGCAATTTTGGGACAAAAAGTTCTTGACGTGCGTGGCACGTTATTCCAGTGGTTAGAATTAACTGGTTCGCGGACCATAACGAGTGACCAAACCGTATACAGTAATTCGTCGCTTTCTTTTCTTTTTGAATTCGTCGGTATATCACTGGATAGAAATTATTGAAAAAATAAATTTATTATTTGTTTTACCTGGGTTATACTTAAATATACTTGAAAACTGAGAAAATATTGTCAACTGAGAAAATATTGGGGCAAAAAATTCTCAACATGCGTTATTCCAGCGCTAGAGGTTAAGATAGGAATCTATCTTCGTTTTCGAGTAAAGGGGAGTTTATATTGATTTCTCAAAGCAGTATTTGGAAACGGTGACGCACGAGTGCAACGTAAAGTAAAATATCACAGCGACACAAGTGCCTATATGTAGTGCATGTATGATCGACGAAAATGGAATAACAAGCTTGATGAATTGATTCCATGAAGAAACAGAGACAGCTACGGTCTATCGTTAAATACAGGCAATAAATACGTGCAACGAAAGAAGTTGAAGATCCTTGATGAGAAGAAGATTGAGGTGAGTCTCGGTATCGATTTAACAAGTCTTGGTTACGATGCTCGAAACCGAGTGCTTCTTTCAGTTAATCACAAAAGAGAAACTCACTTATCTGAATTCCGATCTAATCTTGAAATTATCATTTGCTACGAGAGATTCTGTAATCTCCATTTGGGTTTTTTTTTTATTACGTATCGCCGCAAATAGAGGAACGTGAAAAAACGTGAAAAAAAATCCTACTTTTTTTTAAAGTTTTTTCAAGTACCTACGCACGCGGACTTTTGTTCAAAGTTAATTTAAATGTTTTATGCTTTATGTTAATGTAAATGTTTTATACTTTTTAGTATTCAGAAGGAAGAAAATACTGAGGATAGAACGCAGTAATTAAATCACGGAAATATTAATACTACAAAGTATCAGAGAACGGGATTGCATAAAAAAAACATCTGAATTTTTGAAAAATAAAAAAACTAATACACAGAGTATTTCAAATACACAGCATCTGCCAACATATATCGTAAAACTGAAGTATCAAAGTATCAAAGAACGGAGTTGCATAAAAAAATCATCTGAATCTTCAAAAACTAAGAAAGACTTAATTAAAAATAAAGATACGCAGAATATTCCAAATACGCAGTATCTGCCAGAATATTGTGAAACTGAAGTGTCAAAGAACCGAGTTGCATAAAAAAACACCTGAATCTTCAAAAAAATAAAAAAAAAACTTGATTAAAAATAAGAAACACCTGAACTTTTAATAAATAAGGAAAATACCTAATATCCAGCATTCTAAACGCCAAAATCACGCGAAGCATCCGCAAAGAAGATCGTCGATCTCGAGATAAAAGGAAGGAAAACGTCGATAAGGCGCTCACCTCGTCGAACCGTAGAATCAGGCTGTTGAACCTGACGATCCTCCTGGCGTATCCGGAGGAGAACAGATTCATCCGATAAATTCCCCAAAAGAAGAAGAAGAAGAAGAAGAAGAAGAAGAAGGAAGAAAAAAAGAAAACCGGGGTGAAAACGGCGAAACCACTCGCCGACTATTAACCAGTCGACTCGGCAAAGGAGGAACAACAACTCCGTGGAAATCGATCTCCGGCGAGCGGTCGCGTTGCGTAAACAAACGGCTCGGCGAACAACGTATCGTTTTACAGAGACGCCTCTACGATTACAACACGGCCCTAGAGAGAAAGAGAAAAAGCAGATCGTCGTTGCACGGAAGAAAACATGGGAGTGAAGGAAGGAACGGTGCGGAAGATGATCGGCGACGGTCTCTCGGTGAACCTGCGCTCGAACGAGCAGATCCTCGAGATCACCGGCGACGGATGCGACATCTCCGTGTCGAGGAACCGTGGCAGCGTGAAAGTGGTCGGCGACGGTTGCCGATTGAGGATCGATCAGAACATGGGCGACGTGGAGTACACGGGTGACGGTGGCCAGGTGCTGCTGGGTCCGAAATCGGTCAGGGACAAGGTGAAGTACCACGGCGACGGCGGTAGAATCAGGTTCGACGTGGAGTTGAGGCTGAGGAACCGGAAGTCCGGAGGAGGCAGCTCGAAAGCTGGCGAGGCGGGAAGAAAGTTAGACGAGGAAGAGAAGGGGAAGGATGCTCCGGAAGGAGAGAGGAACGAAGGTGAGAGAAAGCAGAAGAGAAAGGAGAAGCGTGGTGAGGCGGATAGCAAGGGGGAGAGGCTCGCGAGGGCCAAAATCGTCACGACTCTCGAGTACGACGAGAAAGTCGTGAAGAAGTGGTTCATCAGTCAGGGAGCCGCCACCGTCAAAACCATCGACGGCGCCTCCTTCGTGAAGATCGTGCCCAAGCAGACGAAAACCAAAGTCGAGGTGAAGTAAACGAGCATTCACGAAACACGTGTTTTCAGTATGTAGTTACGTTTGATAAAAATAACATGACGAGGAAAGTGATGAAACGGTAGAAATAGTCAGACCGAAGTTCCTACGTAGTTAGACGTAAACATTTGTAAGGAGGATAACTCCAAGTTGATAACTGAGTCACGCGAAGGAACGCCGATAATTTTTCGCGCAAGAGCTTTTTGAAGAAATCGGGGACGCTCGGTGTGTTGATCGAATCGAAACGGAGATTTTCCTCGTTTCAGTGTTTCCTACATCGTAAAATTGTCCTCGACGAGAGGTGAAGAAACGAAGAGGAATGTCTTTGACAAATTGTTTCGAACTTGCCGATTTTACTTTCAACTTTCTCAGTTCCTAATGCCCGATAACATTTTACAATTAGTACTTAAAGTCTATGAATTATTCACTATCATGCAATCACTTTTGAAATCATCGTTTGATCGAAGTTTGAGCATGAATGGAAAGAGTATTTTCTGCAAAAGTATTGTCAACTTGTACAGGGTGATTCACGTATCTTGCGCGGTTGAAATAATTTTCACATTTTATACGTCTAATGAAAAACTGTTTAATACAAACGTTGTTGGTTGTATATAGGGTGGGCCAAAACCCACTTCCTACTTGTGAAATAAATCCGTACATTTGCGAACGCTCTGGTCGAACATTCGAGAGAAATAATTTTCAAAATACAATGAAAAAAATCATCGTTGAGCTTAAATTTAATCTAAAATCAGTTTTGTCTTATGATTTTATATGATGCTTTGCTAAGGAAAAAATAGGCGGGAAGAAACTTTTGGCCCACCCTGTATATAAAATTCGTAAAACTTTTACGCGAATGTTTTTGTTTGCTTGTTCATTCGTCAAAAACACGCGTGTGTCGAATTAATTAAGAAACTTACAAGTACGGCGACTTATTTATTCAGCCCATCAATATAATCACAATAGATGTCTATCAAATACTCATAAGTTATCAGTAATTATAAACATGTGGTCGGTCAATGTTTCAGCAGTTTCCTGTCTACTTATTGTTGTCGTTGTCACAATCCATACGAAAAACTATATATGTGTGTGTATAAGTGTGTATGTATGTAACGCATGCGATAATGAACGTTACAAAATATTTATACTAATTATTCGACGGTTGAGAGAATTTGTATATCTACCGATATTTTTTTTTTTGCACGTGTACTGCCCATGCGTATTTTATTCAAGTTGCAAACCTTCAATAAGCTTGCTAAAGTATTTATTTTGTGTGTGTGTGTGTGTTTGTAACTAACGAAATGAAAGAAACAAGAAGTAACTAGAATGCAAGATATGTATATCTTTTTCTAATAAATAAAACATATAAAATCTAATTTCTCCGTTAATTAACAACACTCGTATTAAAAATGATTCTACACATCTCTTCCAAACTTGAACGAATTTCTTAACAATAAAATAAATTTAAATTAAACACTATCTGTCAAAGAGGTAATGAGAAATATCTTGGAACATAATTAATGACCCATTAATATTTTATTTAATCTTATATTAATATATATATCTAAGCCAATATGGTTTATAAAAATATTTCTCAAGGAACGCGACGCAGCAAGTTGCCCTGAGAAAAGTATGAGGGTGATCACTGAAAGACTGAATGATATAAAACAAAAATAACTTTTACAAACACATGGTTTTTTAATCTATTATTTTATTTGGAAATATAATTAATGGATCTTTTTCAGTATTATGTGTGAAAAGCATAAATAAAGAAGATTGAAAGTGAACAAGTTCTGACTTTTTCAAGATTGAATGACATAAAACAAAAATAACTTTTACAAACACACGGTTTTTTAATCTTTTATTTAAAATATAATTAATGGATCTTTTTCAGTATTATGTGTAAGAAGCATAAAAAAAGAAAATAAAAAAGATTGAATGAGCTATGACTTTTTCAAGACTGAATGACACAAAACAAAAATAACTTTTACAAACACATGGTTTTAAACCTTTTATTATTTTATTTAAAAATATTAATGGATCTTTTTCAGTATTATGTGTGAAAAGCATAAAAAAATAAAATAAAGAAGATTGAAAATGTACAAGTTCTGATTTTTTCAAACCCTTCAGTTTTTCACTGAAAACCCTGTAAAATCGGTGGCCAGACTCCATGGGAACACGGCGCAGTGTATGATCGATAGGAGCCCCGCGTGTCTGTGGTAAATCATCGCCAAACATTCGATATCCGCCAGTTGGTTTGAGCTACAGGCAATATAACCGCGTCCAATATCTGCCGGAAGATTCTTCTGTTTGAAATGGGTCGCAGTGGCGAAATTACGAATCACACGCGAATAGGTACTTCTCGATCGATCCTTGGGTAAATTTTTACTATACTTTTACCACCGCCGCTATTTCAGTTTGAAAAGTTTTAAAGTCTAATTATTGGCGCTGGTTGGTATTGGTACTGGAGATTTAATATTTAATTGGACGATGAGATTATTAGCATGAGAAATTATTTCTAATTATCCCTTGGTGCTGATTGATGGAGATAAGTCAACGAAATTCAAGAAAAAAGTCTGATTGAATTCGAACCTACACGAATGTGAATTCCTATTACATAAACCGCAATTATATGAATTGTTTGGTCTCTCGCTAGACTCGCATAACTGTGCTTCCGATCGTATCTTCTTTCGTTACATAATTTACGATAACGTAAAATATAAAAAGCTCGTGCACTTGGAACGGAGAGATCTATCGCTTATATACATTGAATCGATGGAAAACGATTGTTGTGAATGTTATCGTTCATCAAACGTCGCGTGATAGTCATAAAGTGAACAATTCAACAATACATGACAAAATTTCACCGTCCACGTACAGATGGCGCCCCGTAGGATCCATCGACTTCAATTTACGAGGACAATCTTGTTTGTACAATCTTGCGATAGAGAATTTCTGTCATCTTTGAACCGTGTTACTTTACAACGACATTTAAGCTACATGTGTTTACTGTCCCAGAAATATTTCAAATATTTACGCTCACGTAATGGCGTAATATTCCAGGTCAAAAATCCTTTCTGGCGTGTTACTTAATTGTGGCTCCACTTGTCGAAGATTGTCAGTAATCGTTAATCGACGATCGACAGTAAAACGACTAGAAAGCAAAATATAACGTAAAAATTTATGTCAATCAAATTGAACCATCTTTTGTATCAATATATTTCTAAGAAAGTAGAAAAGTAAAAAGAACTTTCAACCACTTGCGCTGGCAAACTGATTGCGGACCGTAACGAGTGACCGAACCGTATACAATAATTCGTCGCTTTCTTTTTCTCTTACTCGTCAGTATGATATCACTGGACAGAAATTCAAAGAAACCCTAACCTAATCTAACCTAACCTAAACTCAACTACTAGAACTGGAGAAGGAAACAAAGTATGAAGAAATGAATATCAAAGAAGTCGTAATCTAATCTAACCTAACCTAAATCTATTTCAAAGAATACAATGTTTTGATAAAGGGACGGATTAAAATTGCTCAATACATTTATAAAGAACAATTAAACAAACGCCTCCATTAATATATCATCTTTATCACATAATCTAATAAATATTTTGCAATCTTTCGTTTGTAGATAATATATATGAAATTGAGTACAAAAATTCAAGAGTCAATACACTGTGTAGTAGTCAACCACCAGAACTAGAAAAGGAAACAAAGTATGAAAAAAAAATAAATATCAAAGCTGTAACCTAAACCAACCTAACTTAAACCTATTTCAAAGAATACAATTTTTTGATAAAGAGAGGGATCAAAGTTGCTTAATACATTTATAAAGGACAATCAAACAAACGCCTCCATTAATATATCATCTTTATCACATAATCTAATACATATTTTGCAATCTTTCGTTTGTAGATAATATATATGAAACTAAGTACAAAAATTCAAGAGTCAATACACTGTGTAGTACTCAACTACCAGAACTAGAGAAAGAAACAAAGTATGAAGAAATGAATATCAAAGAAACCATAACCTAATCTAATCTAACCTAAACCTATTTCAAAGAATATAATTTTTTGATAAAGAGAGGGATCAAAGTTGCTTAATATATTTTGCAATCTTTCGTTTGTAGACAATATATATGAAACTGAGTACAAAAATTCAATACACTCAACTACCAGAACCAGAGAAGGAAACAAAGTATAAAAAAGAAATGAATATCAAAGAAGCTCTAACAACGGATATGCGATTCCATACAGACAGCGAGAATTCTCCATATGGTGATAGTATCGAGCACAAGGAGCGGATACGTTCGTTGCTTCATTAATTCGAGGAGGAGCACGGTCGAATCAGAGGTCGTGCCGCTTCATTCAACGCTTTCATCCTCTCATCTCTGACCTAACTTTCCGCCGGTACGGCGCAAAGGTCGCCAGTTGTAACGGAGGCCAGCCAGCCGGGGATCGTTAGCCATGGCTCTCACTCTTGAGAAAACTCGCTTTACTTTACTTTATTAAGATCGTCGGGGCAACGAAGAAGATAAATATATATTCTCCTCGTTTATCGTTTCGCTGTAGCTCCACTAGGTTGCTCTCAACAATTTCAGCGATATTAGACTGGACCTACTCGGAGAATGTTCTTCAATTTTTCTCATTAAGCCAGAGCTTCGAGTCGAAGCCTCTTCAAATATTAGAAAGAGAGAAATTTTATCTGACAGAAATTTGAAATTCCCGCCAAAGCTTCAACGTTGAAGGAAAATTGCTTTTATCTAGTATGTGTCTACAATATATGAAAAGAGAGAGAGAGAGAGAGAGAGAGAGAGAGAGAGAGAGAGAGAGAGAGAGAGAGAGAGAGAGAGAGAGAGAAGGAAAGGAAACGTTCGAGGGGAAGAAAGGGGTGGAGAAAGTCGATCGGTGCAGAGATGCAATTAACAATATACGGCAGAACGAATAGAGAACGCTGAACGCTCGCTAAAGTTCCACCCTAACTTGACTCTGTGAAAACGTGGGCCCGTTAATGAGGACACGTGCACCTCTTCGGGC